CATTTAACTCGGAAATTTTTAGGTTATGTAAAAAAATGCCCTCTACAAAAGTTATAGATTTTTTCAAGACCTACAACTTTTGTATTTAACATTTCTTGATAAGATGTCAACTTTTACCGGAAATCGCCAAAAAGCATTTTTACCCCCTTTCAACCCCCCTAGTAAACAGGTTACCTCACGGCTGCTTGGACATTAATTTTTTTTTTCATCCTTATAAGTCCCTTGACCACCCCCAATAGTCGGATTTCGGATAAATTTTTTTTCCTTTTTTAATTAAAATTGAGCTATTTTGCCTGGTCTAATAAGTCATAAATCGGAAGTAAGAAACTAAAAATTGACGGCTGAGATTGGTCCATTTTTAGCTTATGACTTATGATTTGTGACTTACGGCTTATTGTAGAAGGCCCATTAAACCTAGACTCTAATTAAACCAAGCATCACACTGTATCAATCTGAAGGCTCATAGGCCTGGTTTACATCGTGAAATAATTGATACGCGTATTAAATGTGTTTCATGCGTTTACATCGCCATTTGCATCATTTGATACGCGTATCAGTTCAGTACGATACTCCTGCTTGATACGCTCGTACCAAAATAATCCGACAGCGTTTACATTGTGCGTACTAAATGTTTATAATACGAATTTGATACGAATATAGTACCTGGGGGCCTATCACGAATTTTCGGTTCACATTTCACATTTTCACACTTTGATCTCACGTGAGAATTCTCACCGAATCACGTAGCTCACGGGTGAAAATGCGAAATAACTATACTAGTTATGTCGAATTTTACAGTTTTACACATCGCTACGAATGGGTAAGTGATATGTGTGTACCGCATTCATTGAATTCGGTCTTATATGTTTATATTAATGTAAGTTTTGATATTTTATAATAATAAAATTAAATAGATGTACATATTACAAATACAATTCCCAAATTGCATACAATAGTCTATTTTAAAAATATAAGAGACTATTTTAAAAATATCAAGATATCCTGAAAATTTATTCAGCCTTAAAATAAATATAACCTCTATAAAACTATACTGTTTCATTAGCTTTTACAAAGTAATATACATTTATTCATAAATAAATATATTTAGAACTTGACTGAATGTTATTATTTATTACAGAAATATATTTGTTCAAGATGAATGTCACCACTGCTAAAAAAGAAATGCTTTTAAAGTATATGTCCGATAATGTTGAATTGCGTACTCTTTCTTCTTCTTCTTCGACAATAGCACACATCGCTATATTTGCCATGTTGACTGCTTTATAAAATCACGTCAATGGTAATCTTGCTTCCTATTGGCTTTCGCAACTCAATCTCACTCTTTCGCCATCGAAAGACTTGTCGAAAAGTGAGGCGTTCGAATTCTGACATTTTCACCATGTAAAAATTTACGTGATACCAAATAGCACTCGCTTCTCACATATTCACCATATTCGGTTTTCGTGATAGGCCCCCTGATACGCGTATCAAGTGCACGATGTAAACCAGGCCATAGTATGACTCCGAAAGGTAAAATGTTGAAACTAGAGGCCTAGAAAACAGAGATGCGACATTGCGTCGGTTGGGTTAGGTAACCACCGCCATTTTAATTCAATATAAGTGCTCTTGACCAATAAGCTGATGACAGTTGATGCAAAAGGTAGAAAGATTAGATTAGGTTAGGTTAAGTCCGATATTAAATATTCACACAAATAAGAATACTTACATCATAATAATAGTTTTTTATTGCACTTTGACACTGTATTATCTAAATTTTCTCTCTATATATATGTACATACGTTATAAAACTATATCTATTAAATGCAATAGTGAATTAAAATGGCTCTCTGATCACGTGATTTAGATAGCCAATCAAGCCATACCCTTCAATGACGTACTCTGTTTTCTAGGTCTCTAGTTGAAACCATATATATTTTCTTGTTCTCAAGTTTACCTAGGATCAACGACGTGGCAAGTTATCTGTCGACGGGATGATCCCGTGTGTACGCGCGACCTTTTATGCTTGCGTGAGACTGATTTTCTATATATTATAGGTGCAGTCAAATTTTCGTTACAAATGCTTTGAAGTGTTTGATTGACCAATCAGAAGAAAGAACTTTACAAAATTGACCAATCAAGAAACGCTGCAGAGCATTTGTAGCACCGCGTTGACCGTACCCATATATTACAATAATTATTATGTCCCGATAATATTGTGAATTATGTCAGGAATAACTCTATTCCCATTCTTAACAGACTTCATAACAATTTTCCTTCACCAAGTTTTATTGAAAAAAGTATTTTAGAGTGGTTACACTTAACTAAAAAATTTATAAACGAACATTCTAACGTACTTATTACTAATGCCGACAAAGGAAATGTCACTGTTTTACTGAATAAAGATAGCTATATATCTAAGATGGAACTGATCTTATCAGACGCTAATACTTATGAAATTGTTGATAAAGATCCAACTAATAAAATGACTCAAAATTTGCGTACATTAATTACAAGGTGGAAGAGCAATGGTTATATTGACAAATTTACATATATTAAACTGCTTACAACTGATGGTATTATTCCAAGAGCTTATGGTTTAACAAAAATTCACAAAGTTGGGAACCCATTGAGAGTCATAGTTTCTTCTATCAATAGTCCATTATATTACCTTTCCCTTTTCCTACACAATATAATTAATGTTAGCATTCCACCAGCTCCTAGCCATATAAAAGATAGTTTCCACTTAATTAACAAATTAAGAGGTACTCATTTTGATTCGCATTATTTACTAGCTTCATTAGATGTTGTTTCCCTTTTTACAAATATTCCTTTTAATTTAGTTATGGATGGCATAGAAAAAAGATGGTGTCACATTTCTCTTAAGACTAATATTCCTAAAAATGAATTTATTATTGCTGTTAGCCTTGTCTTGAATTCAACCTTTTTCACTTTTAATAATAAATTTTACAAACAAGTTTTCGGTACTCCAATGGGCTCACCACTTTCACCAATTTTGGCAGATATAGTAATGCAGGACTTGGAAGAACAAGCTATCAATTGTTTGTCGGCACAACCATTGTTCTATTATAGATACGTTGATGACATTGTTCTTGCTATTCCGCCTGATAGTGTAGATGACACACTTAATACTTTTAATTCCTTACATGGAAGATTGCAATTCACTATGGAGATTGGCAGTGATAACAAATTAAACTTTCTTGATACTACTATTATTGTTGATAATTGCAGAATTATTTTTGACAATTTTCATAAAAAAACATTCTCAGGTAGATTCCTTAATTTCCACTCCAACCATCCTATGAATCATAAAAAAGGCATTATTATTAGTTATATTGACAAGATTTTACTTTTATCACATCCTCAGTTCCAACAAAAGAATATAACTGAAGCCATAAAAATTTTTTTAAACAATTCCTATCCTCTTTCCCTTATATTCTCCACCATTGATCAAAGAATTAAATATCATATACATAATCAACATAATACTCATAATTTTCAAGTAAAAGATAAATATTTCACAATACCTTACGTTAAATCCATATCTGAAAGCTTCCTTCCCATTTCCAGTAAGTTTCAATGTAAATTAGCCTTTTCAATTCCTAACACCTTAAGAAGTTTTATTAAAAGAGGTAAAGATAAATTAGAACATTGTTCCAATAACAATGTTATTTATAAGATTACCTGTGATGATTGTGAGGCCAGCTACGTTGGTCAGACTAAAAGAAAACTTGGTACTAGACTGAAAGAACATATGTCTGATATCAGAAAAAGAACAGGTTCTCCTTCTGTTATCACTGACCATCGTGTTAACTTTGACCACAATTTTAGATGGGATGATGTCCAAATTTTGGACATTGAATCGTCTTATAATAAGAGATTGGTGTCTGAAATGATTCACATCAAAAGGCAAAAGCAGGGTCTTAATAAACAAAATGATACAGAGGCTTTACCAGAATCTTATTCTCAGATTATAAACTCTCTTTCTCCTTCGTAAATTTCCTTATCTTCGTCACTTTTATTCCCACTTTATTACATTTTTACCCCTTCCTAATTTTCCCCTTATTTCCATTTGTATTTCCTTTGTACTTGAGATGTTCGGTTATTCTTACTTTAAATTGTTTATTGTTAACATCTATAACTCTCTCTTCGCAATTTTCTGACTCATTTTAATTATAATTGTATGTCGATACAATTACAAGGTAATTAATTATTATTTTTTAATTTAATTGTTACTAAATTAACTATATAGATATGATGTACGTACAATATGTTGTAATTTTACATTATATTCATCAATTTATTACCTTGAGAATTGACTATCTTTACTGATTTATAATTGACTTTTATATTATATTCATTTTTTTACTGATACTGTATTTTACGATTTTATTTTATTCTTTTTACTGATTGATAATTTGACTCTTACATTATGTTCATTTTTACTGATACTGTATTTTACGATTTGATTTAGAAATGTGGAGTAGTCCATAAACTATATTATTGGACGATTGCTTTGCTTGTTGGACTCTCGCTGGTGTACACGATATTATTAGGAACTTAATGAAGCGAGTGAGATCGAACTTTTATATTAAACAATTTTTATATTTATATACATATTTATTTTGCGTTTTTAATTTTATAATATAATAGTTTGTACATCGTTAACGATTTTGCGTTTTTTAACATTGAAAATGACCTAATGAAGGTTGAAACGTTTGTTTTTGAATTTTATTAAATTTTATATTTATTTTTAAACTAATGACTGTTTATTGCTAAGACCTTTGTAATTTAACTAATATTTGGCTCGTAGCCCTATTTCATATTGATTGATTTTTAAATTTATTGAGCCTTGTTATATACATATTATTTAATAATTATTGTATTTATTGTAATTATTATTATTGTAACTATTTAACTCAGATATCCCTTTCCGGCACACATTTTTCTGATGAACCATGTTTCATGAAACTGAGTACTCGGGGGTTTTTGGGGTCGCTGATTACGAATCTGAACGCAGCTTTTGAAAATTTAAAACTGAAAAACTAAAATTTCAATATCTGAGTTCAGATTTGTAATCAGCGACCCCAAAAACCTTTATATACCAAATTTCATGAAAAATAGAAATCTGTAGTACCTGTACGATTATCCTACTGACATCACCCGCACTCTGAGTTTCGTTTATCGCAAGCAAATTGTGTCGAGCGAAACTATGAGTAGAGCAAAAAAAAAAAACAAAAAAACAATAAAATGAGAAAAGAAAAAAACAAAAAAAGAAAAAAAACAATAAAATTAAAAAAAATGGAGACAATAACCGTCACGTCCACGTTCGTGTCTCTGGAGTCAACTGAGCGCGGTTCATAGTACAAAATCCAGTAATATTTCAATTTTTAAGTCCCATATAGATCTACCATTTTGAATTTCCAAAATCTGAGTTCAGATTCGTAATCAGCAACCCCAAAAACCCCCGAGTACCCAGTTCCATCTCAATCCAATTGAACATTTGCCAGCGACTGCATTTTTTCTATAAAAATGACGATTTTTAGTTGTTTATTTGTTTATAAAACATAATTATTAAATAAATATAGACATAAATGCAATGTTAAACACTTCTTCAACTCCCACTTCAATTGGATTAAAAAAAAACTGGGCGAAAATGCATTATTTCATCTTTACAAACTCAAATTTTCAAATGAATTCCGGTAGCCACTATAGTGGCCACCATGCCGGAAAGGGATATGTTAAAGACAGAGCCCTAAAGCCAGAAACACACATAGAAAAACGTAAGGCCTTAAGACGTAATCAGTAAGGAAATCGTAAAGCGGGGAGCACAGACTTTTGCATAACGCATAAACCATATACATAAAGAATTTGATTGGTCCATTGACTCATGCATAAGAAAATGGGCCAATGAAATTCCTTATGCACATGCTTTATGCGTTATGCAAAAGTCTGTGCTCCCCGCTTAAGGGTGCGTCCCGATGGAGAAAGAAATAGCGGAACGGAATGAGAACGGAACATTGATAGAAAAGAGATAGGATTGTTCTATCTCTTTTCTATCAATGTTCCGTTACTGTTCCGTTTCGTTATTTCTGACTCCATGTGACTGCACCCTAACATTGGATTCGCTACCGACCTTACGGTCTCTACTGTGATTGGCCAAAACGCTTACTGATTACATTTACGACCTTACATTTTTCTATGTGTCATAGGCTTAAGGCCGGTATTCATAATTAGTTCTTATATTCAAGACCGTCTGAAGTTCAGTTTTGAGGTGTTATGAACCAATCAGACAGCTGCATTAGCATCTCTTAAGACATACTTAAAACGGTCTTACAATAAGAATAAACTATGAATACTGCCCTAAGAAATCGATAATGACGCGAATATAGTGTAATATCGCCAACAGATGACAAACTTTTAACCCGCCGTTTTTTGCCAATTTCAGTAAGTTAGAATAAGACAGTCTAAGTTAGAATCAGGAAGTAAGATATAAGGAGACTCTACTCCGTAAAATAAAAGTGGACCCATTTTAGGTTTCGAGTTCAGCTTCCGATTCTGATGAGTGCGAGTAAGAGAAATGATCATTTCTCTTACTCGCACTCATTATGCGCAGCACTACTAAATTCACGAGCGCTGCGAGTGTCGAGAATCGGAAACGGAACTCGAAACCTAAAATGGGTTCATGTCTTGTAGACTGGCGAGACCGAGTGGAGTCTCCTTATATCTTCCTTCATGGTTAGAATGAAAGTATATAAAAGTATAAAAAGAGACGATAGTCTTGTTCTTTTAACTGAACTTTTTGGTATGGTTTTTCTTTTTCTTTTCTCGGAGAGGAAAAAAAGGACAAAAATGAGCTGTACAAAAAATTAATACCTGCGGTATGGAAGAAGAACAGCCTAATAAATCTATTCGCATTGCTTGCACTTATAAGCTGGTTCTACATTATTTGCAAGTCGATCGCAAGTTCGTTGCGACAGCCAATCTCAAGCTTGCATTTTGAAATCAACGCTTCAGATTGGCTGTCGCAACAAACTTGCGATCGGCTTGCAACTAATGTAGAACCGGCATATTGCACTTAGCATTTTCATTCTGTCTTCAACGTATGGATATATACCTACTCGTATTCATCCCTTTTAAGTGCAAAAATTGTTTTGGGGATTTCAAGGAAACAAACCTAATATATACGATTCTATCTCGCTGTAGTTTTGACAAAATTACTCGTAGTCAGATTTCGGTTATAGGATTTTTAACACACATACGTTCGAGTTTGATTTGAAAATCGCGCGGCGAATGGCCGCCGTGGAAGCAACGCGCGTCACCTGGCGTGCCGTGATCGATCCGACCGGAAGCCGGTCGGCTCGCCGACTCGTGCTTCACAGGCCTCGCCAGCGTTGGCCACATGTATCGCGCGTTCCCGTGGAAAGAGTTCCGTCGAAAATGCGCCGCGTTTACGTAATCCGCGGTAACGCGATGCCACGCCGGTACTGGTAGGCACGCGGGTACGTTGCGGGAATCATTAAGCGATCGTGTCGATTAGTACTGTCGCGAGTTGAACGCGTGCGAGAGAAGACTCCCTCGGCGAGGACGAGAGAACCGGAGAAAAGTGTGTGTGTGTGCGTGCGTGACGGAACCGACCGGGGGAGGTGCGCGCGTGTTCACCGTTCGCTGGCGAATCGCGCGTATGGTAGACGTCCGAAGTGCCATTCGACAATCGTCCGCGGGCTAGAGACTGGCCTCGTGATCCGCGGCGCCGTTCACGTTGCTCTCAGCCGGGAGAGGTGTCGCGCGCCGGTCGGTGGTGTATCGTCGAGCCCTGAAAGCGCCGAGTCAGCGCGCTCGTCCTAACCCCGCCGGGGGGTAGCACGAGGCTGCGGCGCGCCTCCGCCGCGTGTTACCGGAGGACACCGGCGACTTCGCGCGATCGTCGCGCGACCGGGCGACGTCGGGGTCGCGCGTCAGGACGTCCCCGCGGCGAACGTGAGTGCTACATCTGCTTCGTTCACCGCGACCGCGTGCGTCTCACGGAAGCGGGACCCTCCTACGTCTGTGACGTGTGCCTGGCCACGGAAACGGCGGTGACCCTCCTCGTGCTTCCGTCGTCGCGCGAACGCCACGCGAAACAGACGGAATTTTCCCTTGGCATGGAGAGGAGGGGTATGTGAGAAGTTCGAGGACGCGCGCTAGGTTAGTTTGCCCGTTCCGTGAATTCGTAAACCCCCTGTCGTCGACGATCGTCAATCTCTCGCCCTTCCCCCCCTCCCTCGAGAACGAGGGATCTGAGAGCTTCCGCGGGAGTGACATCCCGACGGCGGCGGCGACAACGACGACGGGAGAATTCGTCGGGCGGTACGCATCGACCTCGTGCACGGTCCGCGAACCTCGTGTTTTTGTCCCCCGACGGCGTGCGCCGCAAGATGGCGGCCAAGCTAGCCAGCCAAGGTGGCGCTCGGAGCGGCGGCGGCGAGCGGCAGGAGGCGGGGCCCTGCCAGTCCTACGCCAGTGTGCTGAATCCGAAAGGTGCCTCGCAAAATCGCGTCAGCTCTTTCAAGAGTAACAACAAGGAGAACATAGACGATCAAGTAACAGTGCCGCAACAGCAACAGCATCAAACGACGACCAGTGCAAGGGAGAAGATAGTGCCGACAAGTGTGAAAGGTGGCAAGTCCTACCAGAGAATCACTCGGTGTCCTCAGACTGTCCCGGACAGCTGTCCGGACAGACGCGATCACCACGAGAGGAGCTCGTCGAGCATGCCGGTCGCGCACGTCGACGTAGTTCACGTGTCGTCGGCGTCGGCGACGCCTGGCGCGTCATCGCGTGAAAACGACGCCGGCCTGACGGCGAGTGACGCCGAACGGCTGAACAACGGTAGTAGTCTCGGCAACGACGGTGAATTCCAGACGGTCGCCACGAAGGGTGCCCGGCGCAAGGAGAAATTGCGCGAGCAGTATCGCGAGAATCATCGGGAGCGTCACCGGCTGCGCGATAACAACAATCGCCATCAGCCACCACCACGTGGTCCCAATGGCGTCGGGGGCGGAGGAGGCGCCGGTAGACGCGGCAGCGACGAGAGGCCGCACAGAGAGCGCGCCGACCGCAATGGCGTCCTCGATCATGGCCCGAAGGAGGCCCATCATTACAAGGACGAGCAGAGCATCGAGGTTGAGGCGCAGTCGGCGTCCCTATCGACGCCGCCGCCGCCGCCATCGGTCAAATACGTCGAGGCGCCTTTACCCGCGGTCAACCCCTGGACGAGGAACCGAACGCCGGCGCCACAAACCACAAAGGTTCCACCCTCGCAGCACCAGCAACCGCCCAATGTCGTTGCAACGTCCACATGCGTCGACAAACAGAGCGAGAAGGAAAGGACAGTGCCGCTGCCGCAGCCCCAGCCGCAGCCGCAGCAGCAGCAGCAACAGGGTGCAACGGGTGAGTTATGCAATTCTTCAAAGCACACCTCACATAAGTAGTATTTTTCAAACATGTTTTGTTGACGAAAGTCAAATCGACCTAATTCCTCATTTTTATTGTAAAATCGTATATCGTTACGTGTGTGATTTCTTTAAAATTTTTAGAATGAGTCTCACACTTAAAGATCGAAGACCGACCCACTCTTTTTCAAAACTGACTCGATTTTCACTCCAAAGTTTCAAGTAAGGTTCCACTCCAAAGAATTTAGAGAATTTAGAGAATAACGTTTATCCGTATGTATGACTATAGTTAATACAAATTAATAGAAAAAGAAATAAGGACTCGTTATATAAAAATAAACAGGATTAATGGAAACTGCACGAGCGATCTTTTATCGATTAATTTTGTCCGCCGCTTTTTAATATGTCTGAGGAGGGCTCAATCCGAGAGCCGTAACTTGTAACTTATTTATATTTATTTATATTATCGTATTTATTTGTATGAAAGCGAATTAGCGTTATGTTAATGTCTATCAAATTAATTATTCGAAAGTAGTAATATGTTTTATTGTTGAACAAAAATCTTTATTGACTCTTATATCGCCCTTGACTTCGTATTGTTTATAGTTAATACGTCAATCTTTTGTATCAGTTATATTTTTTAATTGTGTGCGTACGATTAGTTAAAGAGCTTGCTGCAGTAATGGACTAACTCACATTTTTAATTAAAGTAAATGATATCTTATTCTTCAGAATTCATTTACTCCGTTCCTTTAAATGTGGCTCAGCCTACTTGCAGCAAGCTCTTCAATTTTATTAATTATTATCGATTCACGAGAAAGTTGTTGACATACAGAAGAAATAAGTAGAAGTATAACGAGAATTCCAAGAAATTCACCTAGCCTTGTGGATAATTTTCCTCAGTTTCGCGACGAGGAGGCACTAAATTGTCGCGGGATGCGCTCGTTAAGGCATTTTGCATCGTTAGATATACATTAAGGACTTACCTTCAGCGTTTTTCGGCAGAGGACAAACTGCGCCGCCGATAAATAAAGCTCCACGAACTTTACACGCGGCCTTGCGCTTAGCCCCGATTGCAAAACAGCCTTTTATCGCCTTTCTTCAGACTTTCCGATAGCCATTAGTGCGCGCGCGCGGGCGCGCGATAACGATTACATAATTATTAACTTGTCGCACACTCGTGTACGATCTCTCACTTGATTAATGCATGCCACCTCGCACTTCAGTGGCGCTCCGCTAAAATTCGAGAGATTGTGTCGAAATATCCGATTTCACGGAACATTATATATCTATAAATAGATTGTATTATTCATGATGTCAGAGAATGGAGTTCTTTTACATCTTTTTTTTAATAAGATTTAAAATTCCATCAGACGTCACTCTACTTGACATTTTACCTTTTTTTTTACCAACAAGTATCTTAACAATTAATTTTGATAATTATTACAATGCCAACTCCATATTATATTTGGATAAGGAAGGAAAGGTTATCTATTTGCCATGTTTATCAGATTATAATTTATCGGAAGCCCCCCCTTTAAATTTTGATTCGCTTAAAAATGAGATATTTCTAACTCGTCGATGTTAAAAACATTCGTTTAAATGCTATTTCCAGTTATTGAGGCTAGTGTTGCGCAAATTTATCACGCTTTTCGATTGGAATACATATTTGAAAATATTTAAAAACACGCTGTAAGAACGCGGGGAACGCTTCTGTGACAAAACTGTACAGGAGGTCTGTGTTTTGGATGATATATATGTATATATATATTACGAAACGAAACGAGGCATGAAAATAGAAACGCGCGAATGTACGAGCGTTGAAAAATCGAGAAGAGACGGCGGTCCGTAAGTAAAAACTATCGATTGAGAAAAGAATCGACGATCGCCAATGTTTCCGCGTGTTATCGAATATCTTTTTATCGATTCGACACCAATATCTTTGTTTCATTCTGGACAAAGTTTCAGAGTTAAATATGTATGCACATCGCATATTTAAGAATGTAGTCGCGAAAGAACTTTTACGCCTGATAGAGAATTTCTTTGCCATAATTAAATCTCACCGCAATCTACACGTTTAATAATTTTATAAAATATATACTACACTGAGAAAAATCTACTAAATATATATTTATTTCGTAAAAAAAGAATCATTAATTTGATTTAATTATATTTTGTATCCTTAATTTTTAAAATTAAACATGTCAACATTTCCTTAATTTTAATCTTAATTTGATTCTTACTTCGCCCTTTTTACTGTTATTGATTATTATTTATTTTGAAGAGTCCTTGTTATTTTTTAATTTAATGTTAATTATATTTTTTATTTACTAAATATTTATTTTCCATATGAATATTATATCAGTACCATTCAAACAATTATTTATTGTGTGTATGTGTGTGTGTGTGAAAATTTAATACATTTTTCTATCGACGTAGGTTATAGAAATTAAAGTCAAATTAAAAGAAGTCCAAATAGCGTACTTTGGATGTTCGATTATTGTGATAAAAGTTGTGAGCTTGGGGCGCTCCATATGACAACCTTATCTTTATACTCTGCCAACATACTTCAGATATATATACGTGGTATCGGAATGCCCGTATCGAGAAGACCAAGAGTTGCTTTCAGCAAATTTATTTACATATCAGAAGATTCGGTCTACCGATCTGGTCTGTTTTGCCCAAATCTAACGTCTGTGAAGCTGGCCCCTCATTGTCAAAATTTTGAAAAAATAAGCAGAGTTCTGGTTGCCCCCCGAAGAGTTCTAGAGTTCTCTATCAAATTTAGGAAGAGTTCTATTGATTAAAGCAGCGAAAACACCATTTGAAATTACGGGGGGGCCAACTTCACGATTCTGCAACTTTGAAGAGCTATAACTTCTAA